TGGAATTGCCAGAAAACTGCATTGTCAGAGCTTTTAGCAGTTGGGGGTAGGGGGGAGTGTGTTTGGCATCTAGTAAGTAAGGGCCAGGGATACTGCTGGCCATCCTGCAAATACACAGGATGATGTTCTGTCTTCCTGGAATAACAGTAACTGTTAGGCTTGAGGTGAGAAACCAGCTCTCTTTTAAGCATCAGCTCTGTTTTCTTCCACTCTCCCAGAGTTGAAGCCCCTCTGCTAAGCTCCCATAATACCTTATACAACCTCTTTTCCCGTGGCCTGTTTTCATCTATTAGTCTTGAGGGCAGAGGTTGTATGTTATTAATATTGGTGTCCCAGTTTGTGGCACAATGCTAGGTGCACAGTGAGAGCTCAGTAAATGAATAAATGACTAACACGTCCCGGGCTTCTCTGCTGCCTTTATAGTACATCCAGAGACCTCCTTTGGTGCATTTCTATGTGCCTTCCCCTACCCTCGCTCACTACTTATCTCCTCAAATACTAGTACATCAGTTTTATTATCCCTATACGTAGTTTCCTTTTCAATATGGATCTCAAATATGTTTTTAAAATACTGGCGAGATACCAGCACTCCTGGATTTAGCCATGAACCCTTTGAAAATGGCAGGCTTGGCCCTCCTTGTTGGCACAGCGGGTTAAAGCACAGCACTAAGAAGCTTAAATCAGTTTCGCATGAGTTCGATCCCCACCTGCCCCGGAGGTGACCACATGGCGTGGCTCTTGACCTGCCCGCTGCTCCCCTCAGTAGTGTACTTCATTGATCTGCCTGTTCTGCTCCCCACTCTGTTCCTGGTGAATCCTCTCACCCTCTGCATCTCTGGCCTGTACCCCAGTTCTGTATGAATAAATAAATTAATTAAAAAAAAGAAAAGAAAACGGCAGGCTTGCCTCAAACACACTGGCAGGTACATACAAATTAGCAGCAGCCAGCAATACTTTTTCTAGGGAGCTATCACAGAGCAGTTCTCACTTTTTTTGAAACCCTGGGCTGTCATATTCCTTGGATTCTTAGTGTTTAGCCTGCCTGATGGTGCCTGGCATCAACACTTGCCTGTATTATGTGTCCCCACCTATTCTTTGGCATGGCATTTGAGTCCCATTCCCTTTACTGTGGCTTCTTTATATTCTTTGCTCAAACTAAGTTCAGCTGTCTCCTTACACCTGATTGTTTGCACGTGCTACCTGACACTCCCTCTTCAGAATGTTCTACACATTCTTTGGGTCTCAGTCAAGACATCATATTTTGGAAACCTCTCCTTGAGTCCCTAAATACTGTGATAGATACCTTTTTTGCATCCATAGCACTTTTGTGCCTTTCCCTAGATATTGTGAGTAGAAAGGTAGTGACAATATTTGTCTGAGGTCAGTCAGTGCTGTCAAGGCACCCTGAGCAATGCACCACATATGTGAGGTGAGGATTGGATATAGGATAGAATGAATGACACAGAATATCTCTTCCAGCCTGCAGAAATCACCAATATGGTTAAACCTTCTGCTGGGAAGTAGAATGAATCAATCCAAATATTGAGTGTCACTGGGGAAGTTAATACAAGCTTTTTATTCACTGGCAAGTCTAAAAGCGTGACTTGAGGACCGCAAGTTTAAATCTCCTTAACTTCTTGTATTGCTAATGGATTTACTGACTGGTGCTTTAATGATGTACCCATGGCCTTTGTTGAGGATTTTTAGGAAAGATGCATTTTTAAAAGATATATTCAGTTACTTCTAGTTCTTCTAGAAAGAACTCCCAAAATAGATTATGATGGGCACTTGCAGGCCCCTCCCACCCAGGCCAAATCCAACAGTGTCAGTAATTGGGGGGTGGGACGATGAGTAAAACTTAAAAAGAAGGTGTTGCTTTGAAAGTTGTGTAAGTATTTTTTAGAATCTATTCCATAATGATAAAACATTCAAAATGAAAAGAAAGCCTGGCTTTTCATAGATGTGATAAATACTGTGTTTTTTTTACAACATCAAAAGGACATACCTAGCAATTTTTATGTTGTTTTCTGCTCTATCTGCAGAGCCTGGCATGAGACTCCAGTATGGAGTTTTGGGAGTCAACTATAAACTTGGGTTTTTTTTTTTTTTTTTTTTTTTGCCTATGTATTGAAGTTTGTAGAATACCTACAAATCAAATGTTCCGTCATCCGCACAAGCCTTAGTTACACTTCCGGACTATAGCCAGACAATAGTGAACCTGCTTCTGACTCTGCGACTTGCTAGCTGTGTGACTGTCAACCCAACCACTCAGCCTCAGTTTTCTTGTTTGTGAACTGGACTGTGTGTTTTGCACGTGTAATAATAAGCTGTTATCCTCATCATCTGCATCACTGAAATCTCAGCATCTGAAATTTATCACGAGGTTAAGAAACTTTTAAATGTTTTCTTTCTTAAAAATGTTATTAATAACTAACTAAAGTTATGTGCAAACACAGTGGTAGAAAGTGAGAAGAGGGAAACATAAAAAAAAAAAGGGTAGAAAGAGACTTCCAGCAGCTAGGGAGGCTGAGTCCTGGAGGAAGATAAATTATAAAGCAGTTGGACTGAGACAATTTTCTCTCGATGCCAATTTTTGGATCCTTCTTAGGATCTGAAAGCCATTTCCCCAATCCTTTGTTTCCCTCCTGGCAGGTCTTTGACTAACCACATGTCAGGCAGGTTTTATCTACCCCAACAAGAACAAAGGAACCTAGTGTTAGGAGCTGTAAGTACTTACAGAGCAGAAGGCAAGGATCTAACTTTTTAAATGTAAATGCAGAATAATTGAATGCCTTATATTTATATAATTCCTTAAATCTTCCAAAATATTTTATATATGTTTTATATGAGTCATACAACCTTGGAATATAGTAATTTTTATGCTCAGTTGACGGAGGGAAAAACAGATTTCCCAATAACCTGCGTTAATACTGAATTAAACTTATGGGGACCCTGGCTGCTGGGCTCCCCACTCCGACCTCTGTAAATAGGGCAGCCACCATACTTGGGGGATGGTGGCAAGGATCGAACTTACACTAGAGTTGGGAAAGTGTTGTTTTAAGACGGAAGAGGTTACTTACATGTAAGATGTTGACTGATTGGTTGGCGTACACATCTTACATAAACATTGTGCTGCAAACCTTAGAATTGTAGAGCCTGGGCTGATCTCAGCCAAAATTCTATCTTTCACAAGGTTTCTAACCACCTCAACTTTTTATTGGGATATGACATACAGAAAAGCACACGAGGTATACACCTCAACGACTTATCACACCTACTGAGCATCCCAGAAGGCCCACCTGCTTTACTTACCTAGGCTGGCATAGCAGATAGCACATGGTCGGTGACTTAGAACAACAGAAACTTACAGTGTCATGATCTGGGAAGTAGCTGTCTCAAGGTGGTTTGCCTACGGCCTTTGACAGTCTCTGTCTCTGTGGTCCTGTGGCACTTTTCCCCTTGTGTCTGTCCCATGGTCTTCAAAAGACACTCGTTATATTCAATCATAGGCCGCTGCTTTCCTCGTCGTCATGTTAATTGATTGTGTCTGTAATGACAGTTTCCAAAGGTCACATTCTGAGATCTGACTTCAACACATCTCTTTAGTGGGGAACACAACCCTTAACAACCCCATGTTCCATTCCCATCCAACATCTTCCTCTTTCATGAAGGATAGCAAAGGTGTTTCAAAGTCATACTGACATCCCACCACATCATAATAGTGAACAATGACACTATGATGCAGACAACCAGCATCCCTTTCCATCTTTGCGTGGACGGAACTTCGGCTCTTGTGGTCCTGCTTCTAAGTTCTGACTTTGATTCTTTTAATTATTGGACCCGAGTCAGCACACAATATTAACATGCAGGTTCTCCCCACTTTGGCATCAAGAAGTTTCTCCTACAACCCCCAGTTAGCCTATTTGTGTTTTTAGTGCCACTAACTTTTGTATTATTGCCTTACACTTAAATTTTCAAGTAGCTTTACAGAAAGCCATAGGAACTTAAAAAAAAAAAACTAACAGTGCTGAAAATGTTGGTGTTTTTAGATTTAGTCCTTGTTTCATGGTACTTAAGACATCCTGGATTTTTTTGTTGTTGTTGTTCCTATCTGGCAAAATAATAGACTCTTAAAATGCCCTGCTAATGAAATAAACTGATACATACCATATCTTTTCCACATGTACCTTAGATATAGCATGAGGATATTTAGAGATTGTAAAAGGCCATTCTGAAAAAAATTAAGCGTTTCCTATGTAAAGGGCTTTTTTTCCTAAATCATGTTATTAAATTGTTAGGGTTGTAAGTGATTCCAAAGAACATCCCCACTGGTTTGAATATGTACAAAAAATAAAAATAATGCCCAAACAAACCACCGCATGAGCTGATAGTGTAAGCCTTTTGCAGCCAGAGGCTTTTGGCTAAGAGTAAAAGGCTCACCAGGGTTTAGGAATTTGGCCAGGCCCCACGGTCAGAGGTAGCTAGGACCAGCTGGCTACTGAGAAAAAGTCAAAGCAAGCAGATGTTTGTTTTCAGGTGTGATATTCTCCAGTTCTAATCTCAGGGAGAAATGTTATTGGTCCTTAGGTCATACTGACTATAAAAAATTTAATACTTTGCTCTGGAATTTCAGTGTCAAGTACAAAAAAAAAAAAAAAAGATATATGGGCCAGAGTTCTTTTGATCATATGTAATTACTCCCTGACTTCAAGAGGTGTCCAGGGGCAGCTATATTCTGTAGGTAACTCTGAAAGTCATTTCAAGGAAAAATATTATCTGCAAATATACATGACCAGCACCTCACTTCTTGTAAAACATCTTATATATCAAGGATAGTTACATTTTTTCAAATTTGTCTTTTGTAAAGAGATGAAACTAGTAACTAATCTATCAGAGTTGATGCTTGGTGCCATATTGAGTCCTACGTATGACCTGACATTATGAATGACTTCTACAAAGGATGACTGATTTGTAATACATTTTCTTTCTTTCTCTTTTAGCCAAGGACCCTTGTCATCGATCAGAGCGGTGATCAAGAGATGTAAGTTTGTTCTTTACTGCTCTGGGTTTTCTTCTGTAATAATTTTAAATGATGATTTAGATTTCTAGCAAGTAATTATAGTTAATGAATCTTACAAAGAATTCAGTAAGGGGTGCTTTACTTTAGGTGTGATAAACCATTTCAGACAAGCATCTAGTTTTTCACCTTTCTTTTCAAATGTCATTCATTGACAAGCCAGTTCCTTGGAACTGTAATTTTTTCCTATGGAACCAAGCTGTTTTAAAACAAAATCTGGATTATCTAGTCAATTTCTATGATCTAATACAAACTTTCCATAACCATTGCCTATAGGTAGAGACATCTGATGGATCTAAAAACTAGCAAACCCTATCCTTCCACTGTATTTTATTTAACTATCTAGATGCCTGTAGCTCGGCTCAGTCTTCTTCCACATACAAGTTCAAGTGCAATGGCGGAGCCTTTTCCAGAATGTGCAGTCATACTTTCAGACTTTAACGCTTGCTGAAAGCTTTAAACATGTCCTTGGTGCGGAATTCAACATTCTTTTATTTAAAAGTCTCTTCAAAGTTCCCTTTTCCAAACAGAACATGCATTGGTTGATATTTGAAAAAAAAGATAAGTGATTTTCAGATATTCTTTGTGTTAGCTGAGCTGAGGTCACCACTGTGAGGAGAATGTGTGCTATATTTAGAAACATAATTTGTAATAATTTACCATGAATTGAGGATATCCACAATCTGTGAAGAGCATGCATTTGAACCATTGCAGCGAAAAAAATTTGTAAGTTGGCAAATACAGAAAGATATTTCCCATTTCTCCACTTCATTTTGCTAGGGGTGGTGAATTATAGAGATGTAGAAATGACAGTTTATGTTAAAGGGAACTCAGATATGAAAATGAAAAATTCATCACAGATTTACATACCTTAGGACTCGAGGGGGGGGGTGTCGAGTGGTAAGAAAGGTTAGGAGGGAATTTAAATGGTCAATTGGGCAATTTCTTGCTGTAGATATAACTTGGAGTAGTCAGAGATATAGGCAAAACCTTGAAGTAGCTCAACACTTAGGAAGAAAGAGGACAGGATAGAGGAGATGGCAGAGGACGGCCTCTTTGGGGACATTAATGCCTGGAAGGCAAGCCACGCCATAAGGGGTGACTGGACAGGACACGCATGACCCTTGAAGACACACTAGGCCACAGGGGCCATGACTCATGGCCCGAAAATGGCCTTTCTGGGGACTCTGCATCCTCCCCTGAGTCCTGCCTGCTGGATTCTGCCTTTGTTCACTTCTTCCCTTCCCTTCATGGATTTTAGGGCCTCTTTGTTGGAGATCATAATCTGTTCCTGGTTCCCATAAGTCTACCAGGTTGGATCTTGCTTACCATGTCCCCCTGAAAGCTTCAGGAGAAGGCAGCTAAGGAGGACTGGGCAGACAAAGGCAGAAAAATAATGACCAGCGTCATAGAAAAACCAGGAGACAGCTGGGTATTAGAGGTTGAGGGAGAGGAGGCTTTTGAGAAGAATGAGTCGATGACAAGTGGCTCTCACTGCCGAGTTCAGGTTGAACGACCTGTGGTCACTGGTGACCTTTGAGAACAGCCTTATAGGATGCTGAATCGGAAGCCACACGTCAGTGTGAACAATGAATGGGCTGCTCTGGTGAAATCTGGCAATGCACAGAAGGAGAAAGCAGGCCGGAGCTTGAGAAGGGAGAAAGATCAGCGTGGAGATTTGAACATCTTCACAGACTGTTGAGGATGAAGGAGCTGGAGACATTTGTGGGCAGTGGGAGGTGACTGGAACATGAGAGACCAAAGCTGGGGAACTGGGTCAGTTTAATGTCTTTAACTAGCCCACATGTCTTTGCATTCGTCCATATCAGTCACTGTGTATGCACTAAGGAAGTACTTGTTAACTGTGTTTGTTCCTGATATTTAGGCAAGAAGGCCAGACATTCTCAGGTTCTATCTGAAATACAGATAGAAGAGTAGTTGTCTTTCCTTCTCTTTCCCTTTCTGTAAAAAGTGTAGTAATTTCTTGCCTTAACCACTGAAATGTTTGCATTACTTTCTAACTCCAGTTGGGAGAAAGGCTTTATCAAAATTTTAAAGCATTATCTCTTAACTGTTTTTCTTTTAAATTCTTTCATAATGATTCTGCTTCTAGTCAAGCTCTGAGCTCATTCATTCTTCAGAGCTCAAGTTTTTTTCTTTTTCTTTTTTTTTTTTTTTTTAAAGATTTATTTATTTGTGCATACAGAACTGGGGTACAGGCCAGAGGCTCAGGGGCGGCGAGAGGCTTCACCAGAGACAGAGTGGGGAACAGAACAGGCAGATTGACGAAGTACACTGCTGAGGGGAGCAGCGGGCGGGTCAGGAGAGGTCTGCCACGCTATGTGGTCACCTCTGGGGCAGGCGGGAATCGAACTCATGCAGAAGCGGCTTTAGATTCTCATTGCTATGCTTTAACCCGCTGCGCCACCAGGGAGGGCCATTTTTTCTTTTTTTTTTTAAGATTTATTTATTTATACAGAACTGGGGTACTGGCCAGAGGTGCAGGGGACAGTAAGAGGCTTCACCAGAGACAGAGCAGGGAGCAGAAAAGGCAGATGGATGAAGCACATTGCTGAGGGGAGCAGCAGGTGGGCCAGGAGAGGTCTGCCACAACATGTGGGTCACCTCCAGAGCCGAGGATCGAACTCACACCGCAGTGGCTGCAGCCAGCTTGCATTGCTGCATCCTAACCAGTTGCGTCACCAGGGAGGGTCCCGCTCAAGTATTTTTGGTAAAGATTAAACATACTATAATTGGATATTTCTGAAATGTCACACTTTTCCCTTCATTCACATTTTTTTTTAAAGATTTATTTATTTATACAGAACTGGGGTACAGGCCAGAGATGTGGAGGGTGAGAGGATTCACCAGGAATAGAGCGGGAAGCAGAACAGGCAGGTCGATGAAGTACACTGCTGAGGGGAGCAGCGGGCGGGTCAGGAGAGGTCTGCCGCGCCATGTGGATCTCCTCCAGGGCAGGTGGGGACCAAACTCATGCAGAAGTGGCCCAAGCCTCTCAGTGCAGTGCTTCAACCCGCTGCACCACCAGGGAGGGCCCTCATTTACATTTTAAGAAAAAATTATTCTCAGAAATTCAGATTTCACTTAGCCATCAGTACCTATTCTAGTCAGGACTGTTCACATACATGTAAAATAGCAGTCTGTGTGGTTGGTGTTAAGCACATTTAACAAGTGGTAGGGATTCAGGTCTCAGAGAGGCCAGGTGGCTTCACAGTCTAGCTAAGACTCCAGGCTAAACTTCCTGACTCCCTGGAGGCTTCCTCTCCACAGGTGTTCTTGGTACCGTGTCAAGCATATCTAGCGCCTGTCTCCTGTCCCAGGCAAGTGTAGTGACTTATTTTTCTTACTGTGATTACGCAAAGGTGCCTGTAATATAGTCATCCTTCTGTGAGCATGTATCCTGATGAGTATTCAATCAATGATTTTAGATTATTCAGAATCAAGACTAGTGTCTTGTCCTCTTGACTCCATAAAAGTTAAACTGTGCAAGAACAAACTGCCCCCAGTTTGTGCTGTTCTCATACGGGGCCCTGTGACCTGGGAGAGTTCATTTAACTCCTTTGTATATTAGTCTCCTCTTGTGTGAATTTGGAGTAGGATCATCACTGAGGGGCCTCCCGGTATCATGATCCTGCTGGAATTTAAAAGGGCTCTTTATGGTCCTCCCTGGTGGCGCAGCAGGTTAAAGCACAGCACTGAGAGGCTAAAGCCACTTCCTCACGAGTTCGATCCCCGGCTGCCCCCGAGGTGACCACATGGTGCGGCAGACCTCTCCTGACCCGCCCGCTGCTCCCCTCAGCAGTGTGTTTCCTTGATCTGCCTGTTCTGCTCCCCACTGTCTCGGGTGAAGCCTCTCACCACCCCACACCTCTGGCCTGTACCCCAGTTCTATATGCATAAATAAATAAATCTTAAAAAAAAAGGGCTCTTTATTAGCACTAATATTGCAATCCACATCTCAGCCCTTTTCGTAGACAACAGAAGATGCATTCATTTTGTATTCAGAAATGTATGTATGTACATACATATATTCAGAAATGTATGTATGTATGAACAAGAAAAGTTTTAAAGTAATTCTATAAAATTATATGATAACTTTAATTGAAAATATGGCCTTTATTTAACTGTGGCTTAATCCAAAGTGCACAAGAGACTGGCAGCCATGGCAGAGGTTAAATAGAGCATGTTGGTTTGAATAGACACTTCTGGCAAATCTGACTCTCCTGGCAACAACCACACAAGTCTGTTTCATCTGAGAAAGTGAGAATGAGACTTCGAAGCGAAGAGTTGAGAAATTAGCAGGAAGAGTGTGAGACACTCCATGAATACCTGCCATGTAGAGAGAGCGTTTCTAGCCTCCACGCTTGTTCAGCACTGACAGAAAGTGCTAGTGATTCTATAAAGGCTCAAGAGAGAAACACAGATGAGCTAGGCTAGGGGCGGGGGAATCAAAAAGGAGAAAGGAAAGCAGTGATCCCTAAAGATGTGGCGGAGAGCTCTCAGTATTATTGGGGACCTTCTTTGTGGCCTGTGTTGGAACTGGTGCAGGAGCAGAGAAAGGAGATTCAGAGTCCAGGTGGGAAAGATCTCGAGGGCTCACGCAGTGTGGCCTGCTCTGAGGGCAGCCTCAGATTGACTCAGACCCAGGTTCAGAGAAGATGGGCTGTCTGTGGAGGGATGTACACGTTTGGGGATGTGTCAGCTCTAGTTGCAAGCGCAGGTAGCTATTGCCTGGGACCCCATAGCTCCCGTTAACCAAGGCACACTCTCTCTAGTCCCTCATCTCAACCTAACTTCCCGCTGATCTTTGCAAGTGAGGTATTGTAGCTGAGCTTGCCAATCTGGCTATAGTGTCTGCCCGCTGTTTTCGCAGATACTGGTTTCCCAGTATGTCCCTCATAACGGGACTTTTGCCCTAGTGAGAGGCCCCTGCCTGACTCTGCACTTTAGCTTGGCCAGCAAGAACTCTGGGTGCTAAGACAACAGCCCCAATGCCACACTTCTTTGCACGGGTTCTGCCGCATTCAGAGTGGGAATAGCACTCTGCTTCAGGAGGGCTGTCGCTAACCACCTCCATGAAGCTTCAGCATCAAGTGAATGTAAATTGACTATCGAGTTACCTGTTACTACTATACATTCTTTGAAATTGTTCCCGACTGAAAAAGCTTATTGATTTTGCGAAATTATTTTTTAGTTTTCCAACTGTTGTTAAAAAGTAAGGTTTGTTGTTACCATCTGATGTGTGGATACCATCTTGTGTCTGATCTGTGCAGTTACATCTTTGTAGCAATGTACTTCTTTACTCTGAAACTAGGGTCCATCAACTTTGCTCTTGAGTGTGCAGAGTGGGGAGAAGAGTGACGTGGCGAGACAGTCTGGCTTTTGAATTCCCTGGAGAGCATAGGCACTGGGTTCACTCTTTCACCTCCCTTTCCTCTTCTATAACCCCTTCTTTTTTTCCCTTAGCACTCATGAATAGTGCACAGCAAAAATGCCCCGTGGAAGAGGTATGTTCGTGACAATAAGTAACATGATGTCTTTTGAAGGTGCTGGGTCCTCTGATCCGGGCTTTCTTGGTGGTGGTGATGTGACTGTGGCATACTCAGCGAGCCCCCGACTTGATGAAACTATTCTTACCAATCAGACATGCCAAGCAAAGCTCTGGCCTCTCTGGCCTCCTTTATTCGATAGAAAAAATACACTCCAGCTCTGTTTAGCTCTTGATAAAAATGCAAGTAAAAAAAAAAAAAAGACAAGTCGATTAGATCAGTGGATCCTAATGAACATAAATACTGGGTTCGCTTTGCCAACGTGGCGTTAGGGTCCCAGATCCAATCCCAACCTGAATTTCATTTCCCTCTCCCATCCTACCTCTGCCTCCCAGGTGTGGCAGTCTCTGTTCAGCGAGAACCAGGAGTTCATAGAAGGAAAAAGGAAGAGATAATGCCGTGAACCTTTCAAATCACTGAAGTGAAGTGGAGGGCTGCACTGGAGAGATAGAAGGCAACTGGGAGGAATAATTGATACCTGAAACAAATTGCCTTCTGTGTGCATATCTTTACAGTAGAGTATTTGAAGATACTTTTTGGAACAGGTAGCCTTAGGATTTGCTCCTTAACATAGGGATAGTATTCTTTGTTACACATATATGCAGTATTTGACTCCATGTGTGATATGTTTTTTCAGACCTTCTGATTAAGACTTAGTTTTAAATAAAAAGTGGGAAAAATTAAAGTCATTTAGCCTTTTGAGTTGAGACTGGAGGGGTAGGTGAGTGCTGCATATAAATATGTGCCAGAAATGTGTTTATAAAAGTGATTTGACTATTTCTTATAATCACTCAGTTTAAGTAGTAAATAATGTAAAGGTTGTTAAACTCCAGGAAATTTAGAAAATAGATGAAAACTGGTAATCTCCACTCTATTTACAATAGAGATGCAGGTAAACATTACAAACATATAGTTATATGGGTTAGAATAGCTATTTTAAAAAATTTTTCCACCCGTTGTTACTTCATGTCATCATCAGAATGCTCTTACCTGACAATTTCTCTTCATTGCTGTCTTTTCTGTTCATTCTTCAGATTATTTTCAGAGCCTGTATTTTAAATCTGTATTTTCTTAATGTAAATCAAGTATATGTCGGTAATTAACTTTATACTATATAGAGATCATTTTGATTTACTTTTCTACTGATAATGCTAAAACCATGTGTTCTGTATGCTGTCCAGTGCAAGCCAACTTTTTCCCACAGAATGCCCAGAAAAATTTAGCCCTTTATTGAATGAATTAATTTGTCTATATTAGTTTCTTCTTTGTTTTACAGCTTCTCGACCTTCTATTCAGAGTGAGCTTCATCGAGACAGGAGGTATGGTTATGTTTGTGATAGAGTATGACTATGCTGCTGATGAAATGAAAGCATTTCATAACCATGCCACCAGCAGGTTAAATATTTCTCACCAATAAGCAATTATTACAGTGTTATTTCCTGAATTAATCTCTAAGTTTGAATGATGAGCATTTTTCTTGAGAGGGAAGGCAGTACAAGCCTTAAAGGTTGTTTTGATAGTAGTAACTCCAAAGTCAATTAAAAACCTTACTTAAGTAGTAGCTATAGGTAAAGCATTGTTAAAACTACTTTAAAGAAATGCTTTGTACTTCCCAGCTACTTAGTAAGTGTTACGTAGATAAAGCAACAGATGACAAGATAGAAAATGAAACGGGGCACGAAGAAAGGAAAACAGGCTGGGAGACTGGGTAGCGGCTGAAGGACTTAAGGAAGAGGAGGGAGGGAGTCCATGGAGGAAGGACGCGCAGATGGGAGGCTGCCGGATGATGTGGTTCCTGCTGTCAGGGCTCTGACAGATCGTGTACAGTAGTGGACAGCATGGACTTGCAAGTCCCACATAATTAGGGTCAAAGCCTGACTTCATTCTGACCATGCGCCGTGGGGTATATTTCCTTGAAACTAGAGAGCAGAGCCCTGGGTGAGGAGGTTAGTTGTAGGGGTTCACTTATTCCTTATTCTTTTCTAACAACTTAGAGCTAAGTATGGTCAGGCTATATTGCTAATCAATGGTTTTATCGAGGCCAGAGTCATTGAGGACAGATGTTGCTGTCTCCCACGCAGCCTGCCTGGTGCGTGGCTAGCAAAAACCTCGCCAAATGTCCATTCCGTGACTTGGCAATTCTAGTGTAGTTTTTTTGGGTGGTGATTTATTTTCTTGAGTCTCTGAACGTTTACAAAGAGATAATAGCTTTTTACCCACCTGTAAAACCTCAATGAGTCTTCTGCCTTCTAGACGCCCCGAGATCACCATTGTGGCAGCTGAGCCGCTGAGGCCCACCTCATGGTTCCCAGGGGCCCCACCCCCAGGACTGGGATTTTCCCCATCTTCTGCAGCAGGCCCATGGAGGTCCAGTGAGCTGGTTCCTGCTGAGGTGAATATGTGCCACTTTATGTCTTTGCGTTCTATTTATTTATTTTTAATAAATTTATTTATTTATGCTTGTGGAACTGGGGTACAGGCCAGAGGTGCAGGGGGTGAGAGGATTCACGAGAGACAGAGTGGGGAGCAGAACAGGCCAATGTACTGTAATACACTGCTGAGGGGAGCAGCAGGTGGGTCAGGAGAGGTCTGCTGCGCCATGTGGGTCAGCTCCCTGGTGAGGGATCAAACTCCTGCTGCAGTGGCTTTGGAGAGCTTCATAATGTGGTGCTTTAACCCGTTGCGCCACCAGGGAGAGCCCTGCATTTTATTTTTCAAATAAACTGCAGAGATAACAGTGAGACAATTAACGTGCTCTTGTCCACAGAAGTCTACAATCTTTTTTTCTTACTTTGCAGCTCCCCCCATCTTATGAACAAGTCATAAAAGAAATCAACCAAGTTCAAGTTAATACTACAAATAACAATAATGCTGCTGCCACTCCAAGGCACACTATCACTTCTGCAACGCAGACTGACTTTTCAGAAGAAGTAGACAACCATCTGCCTCAAAGTAATGCCAGTAATTTGTTATCCCTAATTCTGACCTAGTTCTAGGGAAGTAATCAGTAGGCTTCTAGCCTTTAAAATAATTTGCAATTTGTGCATAATTCATTGAGCTCCGCTTCCCAGTCAGTGTGATCATTGCATGCTTTCTGTATTTGGGTATGCTATGATTATTATAATAGATCTTTCTCAAGTTGCAGTCCAACCTCTTGGGTTCACCCTAGTTCGTTTCACAGAAACATCATCCTTTTAATTCATGGCTGGTATTAGTGCTGATGCCCTTTATTGCCATGGAGGAGGATGTTATATTTAGCAACTTACCCTTGACAGGATGCTTAAAAGGTAGTTTTCCTGCTAGGCTTTTTAAAAGCACTGTATTAGAATAACAAACATGCAAGTTACTTTGGAAAAGTAAAGCAAGAAATGTTGGGATTTTCAAAAGAGAAAAGTGATTCGTGTGGTAAGTCGACTGAGAATCGGGAATTGAATGTATTTTAAAATATTACATAATGAATTTTTCCTTCCTGAATAAATACAACTTAAAGAACATCCCATTGGAAACTGATTGTATTTCCCCGTCGGTTTCGGAATTACTTTTTACTAATGAAGGAAGACATAATCCCTTGGTGTCCCACATTTGTGTTTTTAAAAATCTGTGTGTGTCTCCTTTTATATTCTAATGTTGCAACTTCTCTTGATTCGTTTTGGTCACGTCAGCACTACAGGCTCCTCTCAAGCCTCTTCAGCCTTCCCTGGCCGTCTCAGCCTGTGATCTTCTGACAAATGTGGGGCCTTTAATAGTCTTTGATATTGCTGAAGAACAGACTTGTCCAGGAAATGCCAATGCTACAAGATGTCCAGTGCCAAGACCGAGATCCAAAAGCAACCTCAGACCAGTAGCCAGAGATACTCAAATTGAAGAGCAGAATCACCAGAAAGACAGCCACGCACCTTCCCCCAGCCAGCGCCCATCTCTGCTGGACAGTACCAACGACGTGGACAGTCGGGCAGTGATGAACATTATGAACACCGAACCAAGCCAAAATAGGCTTGTTCCACGGATCAAAGCATTTGAGGGTCAGACAAATACAGAAACTTCGGGGCTGTCGAAGAAACCAGAAATTGTTCCCCGCTCGCTCCCCGCCAGGCCTGCTGTTTCCTCAGGGAAACCCTCAGTGGCTCCCAAACCAGCTGCTAACAGAGCCTCTGGAGATTGGGAGTCCTGGGCTGAAAACAGACCCAAGTTGGCCTCCCGGGAGGGGCTTACCTCACACTCCTCAGTACAAGAAGCAGGGGCCAGTTCAGCAACCAAACCTCAACTGCCAAAGAAACCAAACCCTGGCCTTAAACGAAGCGTCAACCACGAGACTGCGGGAGGGGGGCCCTCGGCTGAGAGCCCAAATGGTGAGAAGAAGGCCCCAGTGCCTGCTCCTCGGCCTTTGCTGCCCAAGAAAACAGGGTCCTCAGAAAACCCCTCCCAGCCTGCAGTTTTGCTGAAACCGGTCGCTGTTCCTCCCCGACTCTCAGTGGCATCACAAGCCAAAGTATTCAGGTCACTGGGAGAAGGAGCCCCAGCCAACCCCCCAGCTCCGGTCCTGCAAAGCAAGTCTCCTGGGGACTTTGACCTCATCAGTTTCGATGACGATGTTTTACCCACCCCATCTGGAAACCTGGTGGAAGAATCTGCTGGCTCAGACATGGTTCTGGGTGAGTCAAACGCAGAGGTGGCGCGGACTCTAAATTCATCACAGCGTATCTCGAGTGGATCTTGCTGTTTTCACCTTTAGTATGTCAGTTTGTTGAGGTTGCTGTGTGGGTGTGCACACATGCACGTGTGTGCAGAAACAGAGATTTAGGAACATGGAGCCAAGTAGGAGGTGGGATCAGAGAAGAGAGGGGACATCCAGGATGGGGAGATGGACATGGGGATGGGGACACCCCCGGATTACTGTCATAGGTGCCAGCGATGAGCAGACTGAGAGGCTACACTCGCTGTGAGGCCCTTCCTCTGTCAGGGGAGCTTTAGGAAGATGCAGGGGAAACTTCTCATAGACGTGAAGCTAGGCAGTGACCCCAGAAAGGCTCCTTCGATGGATCCGGCCCCTCTGGGAGTGCAAGAAGAGGGGCCGGACCCAGGGAGGACTCTGGCAGGAGCAGTGCAGGAAGGGTGTATCCAGCCACACGCTGCAGCCCTTCCCCCCATAATCGTCACAGAACATCTCCCTTGGGAATGCAAAGTTCTGTAAATAAAATGCAACAGTTTTCAGTTTCCTGCCAAGAATCAGGACAGTTAATTCTCCCTAGAGACAAGAGAGTATGTTTTCTTTCCTCACACTGTTCAGATGGAGGGTGTGATGGTAAAGTTTATCTTTGATTTGTCAAACTAAGCTGCTCTACTTGTCATCAATAAGATTCTTTTTACTGTTCATTACTTAATTTAGGTTGAATTTGTGAACCTGTAGGCTTAGTCGTATTTTCAAAAGGTTAGCTGTCATCTTATAAATGTTTAACATGGATCAAAATTGTATAAGCTGTGTGATTTAAAACCAAATTCTGCACAACACAGGTATATTTTAAACGACAGCAACCATTAATATTTATCATCATGCACATTTTAACTGGTTACAGCATCCTCTTGTCCATAAAGGGTGGAAGGAAAAAATGTCAGACTATATGAAGCATATGTGGTGTTCCCAGCTCTGCTGGGTAGCCGGCCTGCAGGATTTAATTAAATACATGCAGTGACCCTCTGCAAGGTATCACAGGCCTCAGTTTGCAACAGAAGAAAATGAGACTGCCCTGGTCATAAGCCATTTTCCAAGGCAGGATCAAACTTAGTCTCTTCCTTCTAAGTCAGGATTTGCTAGACATTGGGTAGGACGTTCTCATGTATCCTTAAAACAGGCAACACTTTAAAAAAAACTTTCCGACTCTTCGTTGTGTCATTTGCTTATTTAATCCCTTTTGGAGTTGTGAGGTCAGGGCAGGACAGGAGTAAGTGAGCCCAGAATCAGTGAGCTCTGAAGGGGAGGAACCAGTACAGGCCAAAGGGACGTCACCTTCTGTAGAACCTGCTAGATTCTGTGGGGATGGCAATGTGGTTAATAATTGCTGGGGATTTGTTCTGTGTTGTCAAGCAGATAATTGCAGTCATCATCCCCAAAAAAGGAGGTCAACAGTATCCAGTCCGCATGAACATAGCCTCATGCTTCATACTAAGCCTCTGCTGTCTCCTGATTTCTACCACTTCATTGCACAATGTTTGATCACTGAGGCAGTCTCCTAGCAAAATGTGTAGTTTGCCCTTAACCACTGTTCTGGAGGGTTGAGTTGAACCGGATGGACTACTCATTTCCTATCTCCTTTCTAAACCTCTCCTTCTTCTATATTCTGCACCTCACTCGTGGCCCCCTCACACACCCGGCCTTTCCTTGGGGGGTGCCTAGAGACCCCCACATCTTCCCACATGTCACACAATGGCCAGTTGTTTGGCCTGGGAGTCAGGTAGGGCGTGATCGCCCACTTCATTGCCAAGAGACTCTGAGCAATTTACTTAACCCGATAGAGTCTCAGGTTCCTCACCTGCAAGACATGATGATAATATTCCTCATGGAGATACTGCGAGGCTGAAATGTGATTCTGCAGGAGAGCCCCGTCACATCGTCTGAAAGGTCATAAGTGCCTATTAAGCGCTAGTCATTATTGTCATTTCTTACCCTTCGAGTCCAGTTTGTTAGCAGCTTCTGAGTGGTTCCTATGAACTTGTCATCGAATGCTTGCTTTTGCTGCCTGAGTAGTTCTCAAATCTCCCTCCCATTTCCGTCCCTTGTGCTGGTGACCTCTGAGGCCTCATGCTCAGAGTACCACAGTGACCTGCTATACTGAGTCCCTGCTTCTGCCTCAACCCCCATGATCCCCATGAAGGGATTTTCTCAGAACTGCTTCCCCACTTCCGCCTTCAAGAGGCCTTCAGCATCACCTCTGAAGTTCTCAGCAGGTAGAGGTTGTTTGTTTACTGGCTTGGGACTTTCTGACTTTTTGATAGTGCAGCAACGCTACTGTCTGCACATAAAGCATGGTGATCCTTTTCTGAAACCTTACCTCATCCTTCTGGCATCGTCTAGGAACTGGGAGGGGAGCATGGCAGAAAGAAGAGAATCTCACAAATCTGTCTTTCCTTCTTTCTCTTCCCTCAAAAGTAAAAAATCTAATAAAACAGTTTTCATAAAATGAAGCTGCCACATTAATCTCAGGAAATAAAGATCAGAAAATAAAGAAGCTAGGAAAACATTGTAAAGATTAGAAAAATTATTAAAGGAAAACTCATAAAACAGGCAATTTAATATTGGATCCATTTCTTGGGTAGAATGCCTTCCAGGCTAATGTAATGGAGCCGAGCAATTCCTCTTCCCACCTTTACAAATCATAGCCAGTTGTCACAGAAAAAGCAGAATGCGTCTGCTGTCAGCCCCATTACACAGGCCAGAATAATAGATTAATGCCAATTTTTGCTATTAACAGAATTCAAGGGGGAAAAAATGACAGAAAAGCAAGCCAAGGATGGTGAAACTAATTGCGATGACAGCATATTATTAGAGACAGGTAATGGGCAGAAAACTACATTATCACCTGTGTTTTCTCCATCGGCCAAGGCCACGTGGATGTAGGTGTGAAGGCGCCTACTGGTTTGACAGCCGGTATAGAATAGGTGTTGGTGTGAGGGGCTTGGAGGGCAGAATTAACGCTGCAAATAAAAGTAGAGAACATTCCGTGGACATTCTCTAGGTTTGGGTAGGGTATTCCTTTGATGATGCTTTGTGTTTTTTCCTATGGAAGCAAAAGGACAAATAGCCCGTGTTAAATTTGAGCACTGTGGCTCTTAACCCTTTGTAGGATGACAGAACTCTGGGAGTCCGATCAGCACCTGAATCTTTCATCTTCTTTGAAAATAGCCCTTTACCTCATGCTCAAATCAAGTGCATATCTAAAGCCTTGGGGGCCCATTCTTTCCCCCCACATTAAGAGCATCCACAAAATACTGGACACAACTTCTAATTGACTGCTTACTTAAAGTATGTACATCCACCCAGTGGGCCTTGTGCAGCAATTACAAAGGAGGCATGCCACCTCCTGCCTCCTGCTACAGACCAACCTCTGAGCTATGATTAGGTGAAAGATGCAAGCTATAGATAGTGCACATGGTATTTCAGCTCCTGTTTTTTTAAAACACAGAGATGTGTTGTCTTTAGGAAGAGGGGAGCAAAGCTGGTCTTTCATGAGGGAACTGGGCAGTAATGTATTTCCTGTAACAAGTCAAACAACACAGATGATTAGTAAAAGGAAAAAAAAAAACTGCCTCCAACCCAAGCTAATCCGTAGCGTAAACAGTGGGGATCAGTGCAGTGCAGCGTATAAGCCTTCCGTGTTTTTGGAGGTGCCAAACCAAAGCCCCACACACGTGCATTTACTGTGTGTAGACATTTTACTGTACCACGCCCAGTGCACAGCAGGCTGCCTTTCCAGTTTAGCAGTGACATTTATGAACTTCTCTTCAAACCAGTGGGTCAGCCCCTTATTTTTTGATACTGGTCTGAGCATATTCCAGTTGATTCCACATTTCCTCTGTTGGTGAACATTTAGGTTGTTTCATTTGATTTTTGGTTTCTGTGTTTTTGTTTTGTTTTTGACTCTACAGAAAGAGGCGGCAATGTTCTGCTAAACCTTTTCATTTCTGATGCTTTTACTTCTGAAGAATAAATTCCCCAAAGTGGGACTGCATGGTCAGAGAGTACGCACTCTGAGCTTTTAATAGTACCAGTGGTTCCATATCCGCCCCTGGCAGTTCCCGAAGATGCGATGCCATCCTTTCTTTGTATGTTGCCCATTTACATTTAACAGAGCAGCATGCGGGCCAGGGGCAGGTGTGACCAGCCCTCCCCTGCCTGCCAGGCCTTGGTGCTGGGGTACTGAGGCTTCCTGGCTTCACTGTATTAAGGGCAGTTTTTATTCCCAGAGACAGGTACAGCAAATTAAGTTGCCCAAAGTCTGAGTGCCAGTTATTCAAGAGCAGCTAATGATACTGAAAGCAAAAGCAGAAAAAGTGTGTGTAGGAAGGACACTGTGAATATTCTGCATATGTATCTTCTTCAGTCTGAGTCCTTCAGGTTTAACAAAATGACTGGGCCCTCTAATATGCTGGGGGACACCTACCTTCCATGGGTGCAGCAGGTGGAGTGGGTTCCCAGAAGCCATCCCCTCAGCTGCAAGCACGTTTGGACACCCCGATGCCCAGCCCTCCAAGGCCATGAGTGGCTCCTTTTCTCCTGTCCTTGTCTCCTGTTCATGCCCTCAATCCTGGAATGTGAGAGGGAGCACGGGGGTCGATACTAGCCAGGAACTTGATGTGTTAACCATTGAAGTCCTCCAGGCTCAAGATTTTCTTCCCCCTTCACACCCACTCAAAGCATCAACTAAATATCTATACGGGGCCCTCCCTGGTGGCGCAGCGGGTTAAAGCACTGCACTGAGAAACTAAAGCCACTTCCGCATGAGTTCGATCCCCTCCGGTCACCTCCGGGGCAGGTGACCACATGGCTTGGCAGACCTCTCCTGACCCGCCCGCTGCTCCCCTCAGCAGTGTACTTCATAGATCTGCCTGTTCTGCTTCCCACTCTGTCTCTGGTGAATCCTCTCACCCTCCGCATCTCTGGCCTGTACCACAGTTCTGTATGAATAAATAAATAAATCTTTAAAAAAAATACCTATACGGGCCCCTCCTGATGGCGCAGCACTAAGAAGCTAAAGCCACTTCAGCATGAGTCCGATCCCGGCCCCGGAGCTGACCCACAGGGCGAGGCAGACCTCTCCTGACCCGCCCACTGCTCCCCTCAGCAGTGTACTTCGTCGATCTGCCTGTTCTGCTCCCTGCTCTGTTGCTGGTGAATCCTCTCACTGCCCCTGTGCCTCTGGCCTGTACCCCAGTTCTGTATGCATAAATAATCTTTAAAAAAAAAAAACCTATACGAATAAGCGACAGATAGGTCCCCCAAGCAGCTGTTAGGGCCGAAAGTCACATGAAAGGAAGAGCACAGTGAACTGGCTTCAGCCTTAATCCTCTTCTTGAATTGTTGGTCTTTCCCAGCAGAAAACAGACCCCTAAGGGAATGGGGTGTAAGAGATTAAGTTTTTGATTTTGGGGGGTAAAGGAGAGAATTCAAGTTCCTGAACAAGCAAATCTCTGCAGCAGCTGGGGGCTGCGATGCCTGAGAGGTCATGGGGTCCCAGCAAGGACCCAGGAGACAGCCAGGCAAAGGCAGGAAGAGAGATACAGAGGGAAAGCTCCACAGAGTACAGAAACCTTGCGTCTGTCTGAATAGAAGCCAAGGTTAAGGGGAATTTCGGTCTTCCCTTTTAGGGAGCCTTGCTCGGGACAGGTGACTCCAGATTTGGGTAGTATTTGCAATCCTGGGTTCTCACACAGTGCACCTCCCCCTTTTTATCCATGGGCACTGCCGTTTCCTAAAGCCCAGCAGTGTGTTATTCAAACTGGAAGAACTATGAGGAAATGAAATCTAGTTGATGGAGACAAACAGCCCCCCGCCAGCCCCTGTTCCTGCTGCAGCCCCTCTGCCCACCTGCAGCCCTGCCTGCCTGCCCTGACCTCTGAGCGCTCATTCTCGCCTGCTAACACACCACATGAATCTCCGTCTCGCGTGCTTGTTTTTATTGGCGCCCTCTCCCTGCTGGAACGTAAGTGCCCTGCGGCAGGGCTCTTGGCTCTCTTCACTGAAGTAGCCCCAGCACCTGTAGGGGTGTTTGATGGGGCGCAGCCCCCCCCCATCAGTAGTGAATGAACAGGAGTGAAGGAGCAGATGACAGAGAAGTGCATATACAGTAATTCCGGTTTTCGCACTGTCTGTGTATTAAGAAGATCTGTAGACGGATACGCCACACTTTATAGAAGTCACTACCAGAAGGATGGGACTATGGGAGATTTTCTATCATGCACGTCTTAGCTTTCCGTTTTTACAGTAATCATTGTTTTTTGAAGTAAAAGATAATGCTGTAACAAAATAACAAATTTAAGCATTTGTTTGCACCTACAAGAAGGAACTTTGTTTTGTGGGGACACACGTTATAGTGGAAGAAAGTGACATTATGGCAACAGCCTTTTTTTAAATAAATATGTGCTGTTTTGATCATCTTGAGTTGCCACTTTTTAATTTTTTTTTTTTTTTTTTTTTACCTCACTTGTGAGCCAATAGGCAAGTTTCCAAGAGAGTCCGTTGGTTTTTTCCTCAGTAATCTAATGGCAATTATTTTACTAGCAAGCCCTGTGAGGGTCCCTCATTGGTGACAGGTAATAAACTAGAGGACAGATTGTACTTTACCTTCACTCTCCCCACCTAGTGGCACGTGGTAGACACATGAGCTAGTGGCAGGCCAGCAAGCGAAGCCCTGGCCGGTTGCCAGAGCTGGGTGGAAGGGAGGAGGCGGCTTCAGAAGCTTAGGGGCTTCTGAGCCAGAGCTCAGCTCTTCATATATCCTGAAAGCAGTTGGTCAGCAAAAGGTGCTCATTGAGCTGCAGCTCTTAACAGGCAGAACATGAGTGCTGTTGATCACGGGAGTATGGAGTGTGCATTGTTTCACCGGAGAGTCTCCCTGCAGGCAAGATTCATAGAGCAGGTGCAGAATTACAGTCTATCCGCACTCAGGCTTTTGTCGAATTAAGGCCGAGGCAGCCTCATGAGATCCTGTGGGCTGTGTTGAATATCCATTATACAACATTTTATTTTATGTTTGCTAATCTATTTTCAGATTGCTTATCTTTCAAAAAATTTATAGCTGTTTTCCCAAACTACTAAAAAGAACATTTACATGAATGGAAACCAACTATTTCTTTCAGTTAAAAAAAAAAAAACCAAAAGTGGTGGTTTGCTTTTGTTTAAATTACTTTCTCTGAGTATATACTGCGCATTTTAAGTGATTTAGTTAAGATGGAGAAATGCCAAGACATATATCCTTGCCTCAAAATTAAATATTTGAAGGGGCATATTTTATTTCCAGGATAAGAGGTTTTTCATTTTGATGTTACTGAAATGTTCTGCTAAGCCACTAAATCCATGACTCTTTGGCTACCTGCTCTGTGCCAGGCACCATACTGGGTAGGCTGAGGGTCCTTGGTGAGTTCTGTGGGTAAGAGTTCAGGACTGTGCGCCAGAAGAGTCCTTCCTTCCTGGGGCTGGGGAGTCTGCATGATAGGGGAAAGATGGTCCCCTTGTTTCAGTTGCCCCTCATTTTCAAGCAGAAACTTAAGGAAATGATGATGCCACTCCCATGAAAGACAGCTTCTGCATAATTCAAGATTGTCCTGGGTCTTGCTCATCAGAAGGGAAGAAAAGCCATGTGAATTATTTACAGAGCACCAAGTTATTTCCTTTCATGAGCTCTGACTTTGTTTTTGTCTCTGCAAACTGAGATTTTGTTTATCCATGAATAGTTTTCCCTGGGGCTTGAAAAATATGACTCTTTAATTATGAATGAGGTTTTTTGTTTGAAACCGTGTTAACTAAAACATGCAAAATAAACTCTGTTTTTCATTAGATCCCTTTCAGCTTCCCACAAAAACAGAACCAACAAAAGATCGAGCAGTTCAACCAGCACCCACCAGGAAACCCACTGTGATTCGAATTCCAGCCAAACCAGGAAAATGTAAGCACTTGTGCCGTCTTTATTTGCTTCTCCAAAAGCCCGGGAGAACTGTATGCTGATTTGTCAGTGTCTGCTTTTGACTTTGTGTGTAATCAGCCATTTACTATTACACAGTCAAGGACATCTAAAAGCAAGTTACTTTTTCACAGTGTTTTAGGCAATTAGTACAATAAATTTGTATTTTATTTCCTCCTAACATTGCCTTGAATCAAGAGAACAGAGGGAAACTGAAACTCAGCAGTTGTAGTGTCCTAGATTCACACCTCTGGGTAAGACCTATGGCAAAATATTTGAAACTGATAGCAAATAAATGACAGCAAGTAATTCAACTAATGGTTGTATGTGTCTGCCAGGAGTTTGCTAATCCAATTAGCATGATCTAAAGACAGTTATGTAACCAAATGTCATAAAAATATTTTTTAACTAATGTAATGCTACATTTTGATACGTTTCCTTAGTTGTTTTATTAGTGGCACAGTTAATGAAATTTTTGTATGAGCTTTGATAAGCACTTCAAAAGCAAATGTGGTGTCTGTTGTAAGAGGGTCGGAACTGTTCATTTTAGATCCCAGATACAACTCAAGGGCACGCATGACTGAAGGTGTTTGCGCACATGGGTGTGGGTTCCAGAGCAGTTCTTGACATTGTCGGTGTGATGGATCGCACAGCTCTCTGCATGAGCCTCTGCTTCCATTCATTTTATCCAGTTCCTTTGCGGAACCTGGAGACACCCTCCTCTCCCAGGAGATTTTACCTGCTCCATTCTTCCAAACAACAGAGCGAGTGTCCTGGGCCTTCACTGCAGAATTATTTTGCAATGTTATTATCCTCCAGAATGCCATGACAGTCCCTTTCGTTTAGGAATTTGGTTTCTCTAAAGCGTCATCTTGGTTTTTGTCTCCTGTTGATAGTTTTGTCGTTAGTGAGTGACTCTAAGCCAAGTAGCAAGACGATTGAACTGAGCTGCTGTGAAAAATGAGGAGAAAAAGTCAAGGGCACCAGATTGCTTCTTAGGAGGTTATGTGGTCATGTTAGATAGAAAACTGGCAGTGTATTTCTTCCGAAAGAATTGTATAAACCCCAAACCTGTGAAATGGCAGCTCACTGCATTGTTTGCTGTGTGTTATTTCCTTGCTAAATGTATTCGGGTTTTAACAGACAGTGAGATATAATAGTGAGAATAAACCTTGACAGAGCTCATGTAAGTTTCAAGTAATACAGTGTGATACTTAAATGTATTCTCCTGTTGTGTTAAGGCCCCCAAGACCCTCAGATTTGATGACTCACTAGGAGGACTCAGACCTCTGAGTGTAGTTGTGTTCGTGGTTGTGATTTATTTCAGCACAAATACATGAAGCAGAATAGCAAAGGGAAAGGACGCCGGGGCCAAAGCCCAGAGGACCTGATGCAGGCTTCTGGGGGTGGCCCCCGCTCAAGCGGGACGCCCTCACCACCTCCCCCCCACCCACCCCAGCTGCCGGTTGTCTGCCAAGGGAACTCAGTGCCCAGGGTTTTTACTGGGGGCGGGCACCTATAGGCACCGCTGAGAATTTGGGCAAGGACCGGAATTCCAGATTCCTAGAAGGAAAGCAGAGGTTCAGCAGAAGCCACATTTTTGCATTTTATCTGTTAGATGAAGGATGAAACCTCCCTGATGTCCAAGTTCCCTGATGCCAGCAAGACGAACTTTGTAAAGCAGCAGGCCTCTCTAACGACTGGCCTCGGACCCACGAGGTTTGCCCTTTTCAGCAACCTTATAACTTGGATTAATAGTCCTGAAGTCCTGAGAAGGCTATATTGGGCGAGCACCTGTATTGATGATCTTAATAAAAGCTCTAGGAACTTTAGAAAGCTGAATTCTATTTGCTAGATGTGAGAGAAAGGAAGTCCCAAAAGTTTCTAGAGAATTATTTCATGTATATCAAAAAAAAGTTCTCTAGAATGTTATTACTATAATTATTAAGCTGTGCTCACATGCCACAGGCCAAATATATATATATAAAACATGTTGGCATCTGAAGAACTTGAAGGGAATGGGGACAGAAAGGAACAGCTTCGGTTTACGCCATAAAACTGGCTGCTCTCCTTTGACTTGTCAGTTCTTTCCACATGGCACGTGTTTCTTCTGCCTGGGATGGTCTCTGTCCAGACATGTGCATGGCTCCCCCGCTCAGTATTCCTTCAGCTCTTCTTGCTCAGTGACACTTTGCTCTTTGAGACCTGCACTACCATATTATCTGAAATTGGAGACCATCCCTTTCACACCAGCTAGTCCCATGTTCCTTCCTCCTCAGATTTCATATTACTGCTGCTTCGCACCCTGAAATACTTGTCATGACAGTGTTATTTCCTAAATGGTTTATTATTTCCTAGGAATGATTTAAAGCGACACATAAAGAAAAATCGTAAAATTGCGACTGAGTAGGAATGTCCTGCGCCTGTGTGTCTTAATTCCTTGGGCAGCCCTGCCTCCCACTAAGAAAAGCCGCCTGTCTCTAAGCCATTGTTTCCCTAGTAGCTGGCTTGGGTATTTTTCTCCTTTTGAGAGCGTTTTCCTGTCTGTGGATAAAACAGGAACTTGACAAATCATCACCTTGTTAGAGGTTTTTCATGTGAAATGAGAGCAATGTTTTCAGTGGAAAGAGTGAAGGGTGTTCCTGTCCCCTCTAAATGCCTAAACTAGTGTGTCTTAGCATATAATCATCCTCCCCAAGTGTTTTTGCACAGATTCTAATTAGCTGTCACTAATTAAATCTGGTCATCTTTGCTTTCCTTTTTTTTTCTTTCTGGTTGCATTGTCATCGAGTTAAGGATATAGATTGACTATAAAGATATTGTTTGTTAAATTGAGGGCAGTTAAGCCCATTAATCTGAAGCTAATGAATTAGAAAGCCCATTTAATACTCTGGAATGGGAGGCTTGGGTATACCACCCATTATGAAGAGCGCTTCATTACAGTGAACACGGACTGACTTTTGGGTTCAAAATCCTGCATTTTGCAATTAATAGCATTAAGACCTCGAGCAGCTCATTAATTTTCTTCTGAACTTCAGCTTCTTCTCTGAAAAAGGGTTGCAGATTATCTAGTAAGCACCGCTGAACAGAACTTACTGCTGAGGTGGAGATGTCTCATAGCTATGCTGTCGGTCATGGTAGTTTCTAGCCACATGTGGCCGTTAAACATTTGAAATCTGTTGTGGCTGAGGAACTGAAATGACTAAACTGCCCTGATTTAATTCCTGCCACATCAAAGGTTCTCATCAATACCTGCTGCTGATGTAATTATTATTAGTATTATTAGTATTACTTTTATTCTGTAAAAAATTCCGTAAAATGGACTGATAACCTGTTAACCCAGTGGTTTTTCTGACATTTGGTGGGAATTCTACTAATTTGCTTAGCTTTCCATTCTTTCCATGGGTCTTTTATAATTGGTCGCTTTTGTAAGGAACCAAGATGAAATCATTTCCTCTTCAGGAATCCTTAAATACTAGAAATTAGTGATGAATTGCTGCCACTTTTCCAGGTTTACATGAGGAGCCACAAAGCCCACCACCTCTCCCTGCTGAGAAACCTATTGGAAGCACTTGCAGTACAGTACCTGGAAAACTCAATAACGTTGACAGAACCAGGAACCTGGTAAGTGGTCATTATAGTTTGTCTCGGGGTGAATACTACTCTCGATACTGTTTGAATACTCAACTGGTGTTGAGTATTTTTTACCACTGACAAAAATATATCTTTATTACGAGCCAGTTTCTAAGACCAATGCACCTATTTATTTTTTTAAAGATTTATTTATTTACACAGAACTGGGGTACAGGCCAGAGGTGCGGAGGGTGAGAGGATTCACCAGAGACAGAGTGGGGAGCAGAACAGGCAGATCAACGAAGCACACTGCTGAGGGGAGCAGCGGGCGGGTCAGGAGAGGTCTGTCTCGCCATGTGGATCTCCTCCGGGGCAGGCAGGGATTGAACTCATGTGAAAGTGGCTTTAGCTTCTTAGTGCAGTGCTTTAACCCACTGTGCCACCAGGGAGAGCCCAATGCCCCTATTTTAATGTGATGTTCAATATTTTTACAATCCCTATAAAGCAAACTATGTCTGTTCATTGTATTTCATCATAAAATAATCTTTCATGTGCCAATGTAATGGCATTGTCTTTTAAATGACACAAGTAATGAAGGTAGTAAGATACATAAAAATACCTTTAGTATTTGTAGAAATAAGTTTAATTCAATTATCAGTTTTTATTTAAAATACCCAGTTAGTGACATAATTTCAAGATAATTGCCATAAGACTGTGTTTACCTGAAATTTAGGGGGGAATAGTTCAGAAGTGTTTTACTGTATTTGCTTATAAATCATAGCCAAAAAGTTTGTGTGCATACACACACTTGCATACATATCTTTTTTATTATTTCAAAATAATTTCCCTGTACTTTAAAAAATTCTCATATATTTAAGGGTTGCTTTAAAAAAAACCCAGTTCTTAAAGTCTTTGAACCAAATTTTTAGTTTAGGTTCATAATAGTTTTACTTTGTGATGTTAACAGTGCATATTATTCATGCTGACCCATCTACTCATCTAGTGAATTTTCTCTGAAGGAAACATTAAATTGAACTAGCCAATATCAAGTTAATGAGATTCCCTGCAAGCTGAATTAAAATTTAGTGATCACTTGTGTTTTCAAAGTACTTGGTAATCATTTTTTATTAACACCAAGCTAAAAAAGCCCAAAGGAAAACGAGAGCACCCTAACATACTACAGTTGAATCGAAAAACCAACCTCAGATTGCCGTGGAGGAAAAAAAAGTCGTTTGAGAAAGTGACTGTTGTGACCTAGTATTGGGGTGAGGCTGGCCACCTCGGGTGGCAGAATTCACAAGAGAAAGAGGACAGACAGAAAAGGTGGATTTACTGAACCAGCCTGCCATACAGCAGGGGGTGAGGCAGAGAGCGTCTGTGTGGGAGCCAGGCTCCGGGCTCTCTGTGGCCTGGCTTCGCAGGCCCTTTCATGGCTGGGGAGTCGGTCTCTGTCGCCTGCTACCTTCTGGGACACCAGGCTCCTGGGCCCTCCGCACAGGGGGGATCCTGCCTGCTTCTGTTTGTCCTCTTTCTGTATTCCTCGGAATATTTGATAGACCGCCCTCATTGGTCGTGTGGACGCATGGACAGGTTCCCATGGCAACTCTATCGGTTTCCTTTCTTATCTATTTTGTGTCTCCTAGTACTGTCCAACTGAGTAAAGTGCAGAGACTAAGTTTTAAGTCTGTTACATGATATCTGGACAGTAACTGGCTTCTACTCTGTAAAAGGCCGTAAAGGGGAGTGTCAAATGATGGGCAGACATACATATTCTGCATTAAGTCATGTACTGAGCTTTGTAAAGCTCTATTAAAATATCCGGTATTACTACATTTTGGTGTTAAGCAGTCCGCTTTAGAAAGACAAGGAGAAGAAGTTAGAATAAACCATATTCATAATTCTCTTTATATCTCCCTTGATGAGGAGGGGAAAATCCATGCCTGCCTGTTCACAAAGGGGGTCAAAACATTCTCTGCTTTTCTGTTGCAAATGCCTCAGTTGGCACATTGGGTCTGAAGGAAGGAGAGATGAGAGACAGACCACATGTTAATGATTTGGCTGAAGTCACACAGAATTCTAGAGCCATAAAGTCAACCCTGTGCTTGAGAAAGTTCTTTTGTTTGAAAATTACCATTGCTGAATGAGTTTTAGGCCATAAAAGCTTCAAGTGTGGGTGAGGCTCTCTAAAAAGAATAATTCACCAGTGTAGTGACCTATGAGGCCAGGCATGGTCTTTGCCAACTATGTCTTCCTGATGACAAAACCCTCTGCTATTTCTCCTGCCTTGAGTGCAAGGGAACATTCCCCTCCAGGACAAGATGGATACTCCAGGACCCACTGGAGCCATCCTGTGGCCACAAACAAATGCTTTTGGTGTGTCCTGTTGTTTGTTGACTCTGGAAACCCAAGACCCCGGGGCCACTAATGAAGAAAGAAAGTCATAAGATGCTGCCTGGTATGTGTGAGTCAAAGCAATAGCCCAGAAGCTGGCTGAAGAGAAGACAGGCAGGGACTTATTCTGATTTCAGGACACAAGGAGCATAGCAAGTTGTGAAAAAAGAAGAGAAGAAAATCTCTGTAGAGAATGCTCAGTGATTGTGATGGAAGTATGGTGTTGGAAGAAATATCTGTCTTTAAAAAATACAGGGGGAAACTGGGGAATTATTTTGAAACTGCAATATAAGAATTCATCCCAAAACAAATGAACAAAAAGATGGTGTCTGCAGGGACAATACAAGCAGAATAACCGTCTTCATCACGCTTATCCAGACACATCAAAAGTCAAGTTCAGGGATGTCAGAGCCAGAAAAACTACAAAAAGCAGATGCAGAGAGGCTGCAGCTACATGTGGAATGTTGAAGAACAGGAAATCCCTGATCAATAGATAATCTTGCAAAGACTGCAGAAACACGAGGCTGGACTTGAGCACACTCTGAGATAGTGACTTGGATGGCGACCAGTCCCCTGCTTTCAGAATCTGAAATCTGTCAGAGTCAACAGTGGCTTTCAGATGGTGCCTAACACTTCTGGGGGATTTGAGTGTTCTGGCTTTTTTTTTTTTTTTTTCTTTATTTCTGGTTTAAACTGTGCTTATTAGAGATAGTTGAGAAAAAAACACTTAAGATTCCCCATGAAAAAAACACCACCCAGAGAAAATTACAGCTAACTCTTGATACAAAATTA